TTACTTCTTTAACTGAAGAAAAGAAACTTGTGTATTGTTTTTATTGTTATGTACATCACCGAGTCTTCTTTTTTTTTATCTTTTTCTTCTACATAAAGGTTGTCTGTAAGAAACTGCTTAGCGATAAGACCGCCTATTGTACAAATCTATTTAAATCTTTTATATTGATACTTTTCTGTATACAAACACTATGCAATGAAGCGTATTTTATTCATTTATAATGAATAAAAATAAACATATAAAGAGACTTTCTGTAACGAAGATTATAGGCCTCATTGGTAACAATACATGCTAGAGCAACTTCCAATAGCCCCCTAGAATCTATCGTGATTCATTCCTGATAAATTTACTAGGACAAAAGAATTGAGATGATATTTACGGCATCATTGAAAGATATAATGATGATGTAGAGGAAAGGAGTAAACAGAGAAACCCATTTGTTTAGTATAAAGCACTATTCTATCATAATCCATTAAAAAATCTGCCATAACGAAAGCTATTACGATTTTCAATATCTGAAATGTATTTTTAATAACAGATGACTTATAAATTCTATTCCAAGGAAAGTAACATGTATATACAGATTATTATTAGTTTTTTTTTTATGTGTACAACACTACCGATTGTGCAAATAACGATACGGTTGGCTGCCCCGTAATATTTTTAGACAAATATTTTTTGTCATTGTATGTAGTTCGTCAGAAGCAATTTACCTCAATATTACATTTTGTTTATGTTTGCATTATAAAATATCTATTTTATATTGTAAGTTTTCTTTTCATCTAACATAGGAAAACCTTTAAATATCTGTTAATATATTTTTTATATCTTCAATTCATGTCCATCGCTGGGGTAAACAGATGGAAATCAATGTTATAAATTAATGCACATAGTATGATGCCTATTCTATTTTTTACATTGCCACTCATTTCAAACTTTTTATTTGAAATAGCGTAAAAAACTATGTAAATATATATCTTGAAAGTAAAAGCATTTTTTAAAAAAAAACTACTGCAACTGTAGCAAATTAATTAGTTAGCGCGTTTTCCATCACTAGAGAGTCACAAAGACCCGTTGACACATAATCGATTTTAATATGAACTAGAATTTACGAACTCTAACGTCTTTACCAGTAATCCCTAACGTTTTTCTATTAATTTTATAAATAAGAGTACTTATGTTTATGTACTGAAAGATGCAGTACAGTGATTCATAAAACTTAATTTTATCCAGTATCTAATTGTTACTTGCAATCAAAATTACGTCAATATAAACTTTGTAGACAGTCGTAAATTGTTTAAACACTGTATTGTTTTTATGGAGACTCAGGTTTTATACAAAAACCTTGAATACGAAACATTATTCCGTAGCAGGCAGTTTGACTAATCTTTTAATTAAGATATTTTTGGTCATGAATTATATAAATATATAATCTTAGACACCAAGGGGAGACGGGCATTGTTGGTAATCATTCATTATAGACCCTATTGATCCATAGACTACCTATCAAAACTGGGGGTAGTTTTGATAGGTAGTCTATGGTTTATCCTCATTATATCCTTCACTGGTACCTACAAGTACATTCCGGTGCACTATTCCAGAATTATTCATTAAAACACACACAAATTCAGCTAATCCTAAACTAAGCATTTGTGCTATGAATACTAGAGTACACAAGATAAAGATATGCCTACTTAAATATTAGATTTTATGAAGATAACACAGTATATATAGAAAATTTTTAATCTGGCTGACATTACTGAAATGAAAAATCTTGAAAATCTTCCGGAAATGAAGTATCTGTAATAATATAAAGAGAGAGACCGGATATTATTTCATATATATAAAACTTACATAAAAATCGCGTAGAGTCAACCTAAAAGAATAGATATAATTTTTTCTTGAAGTCGGTTATAATGTTTATTTTAATAAATTGTGTACAAAATTAAAAAAAATTGTTAAAAAAATCTTGATCGTGTCTTTATCAACGTATATTTGTCAGAAAAATCAAACATATTAATTTAAGAGATAAACTAAATTAAAATAATATTAATGCTATAAAAATATAGGGGTTGGTAGAAATGGTGAAAATTTAGAAGATTATGCAATTGTTAATGCCGCGTCATAAAAATATGAGTAATTTGTGCAAAAAATTAAAAACCGTATTGGGCTAAGCCACCTTTACCTGTTAGTGGTAAAAAAAATAGATAACAATCTTTTCTCAGATCTATTGAATATTCATAAAAAATATCAAAATCACCCAAGCTATTTTGGACGAATATGGCAACTAACATTGGACACGAGAAATTTATACACTAGAGAGATGTATGTATATATTAATATATACATACATATATTATATTAATTACCATTTATTATATTATTTACATAACCTAATTATACAACTAAGAACCTAAAATTAAAAAGCTTAAAAAAAATATAATATGATGACTAAAATATATTATTAAAAGGGGTCCCTTCAGGCAACGTTCCGAAGATACTGGCAGCGTTCCCTCTTTGAATAGCTGGACAAATTCTTTATCCAATGTAGCTGCCAGCTCTTCGGTCTTCTGTGATGTCGACTAATTTTATTAATTATATTAATAGTATATACTACCTTTTAAATAGTGAATTAATGTCTTAAATAGGCGCATTGAATCTGGAATTAACATACTCAAAAAACCTATAAGCAAAATAACGATGCAGGGGCAGACCATTCGTTACTAATATACATTACTTCTAACAATAGATGTCTACAGAATATAGTAAATTTCAATGCCTTTAAAATGTCATTGAATAGACCGCTACCGCTGTCTCATCCATCATCTAGTATAAATAGTTCAGCATATCACTACAGCGGTATGTTTTTGAAGATAACAGCGTCATTACAGTACCTAGTCATTCTATTTTTCCCTAAAGTAAAGGTGCATTTTTCCCATTACGTTGGGTATTTTAGAAACCGCATAATAAACCGACTTTTCATAGAAGTATATTCCATTTGTAATTCTAATTGGTATTTATAATTTCAACAATTAAAAGTGAAGCGTTTAAAAATTATATTTTCCGCAACTGAAGGTGCATTATGCGATGTCGTAATCTATACATCTATACATATAAATAAAATTGGAGTGTATGTTTGTAATATTGAAATAACCGTTTTTTACTACATGCATATAAATACAAATACATATAAAGGTACATACACCAAAATAACATTTTTTGCAATTTTTGTCCGTCCGTCTGTCTGTCAGTCCGCTTGTTCCAGCTAATCTCTGAAATGGCTAGACCAACTTTGACGGGACTTTTTTTGCTTAGGCTACATTTATTTTAGAAAATAAAGTTAAATTCCACGCGGTCGAAGTCGCGAGTACAGCTAGTATGTAATAAGATCAGAAAGATATTTATTATTCCATCTAAAAGTTAAAGTAGTTAAAAAGATATTTTCCGCAAAAAAAAGGTGCAAGTCCCTATGCCGTAATAAGTAATAAGATAATGAGTAATCTCCTTCGTCTAACTTTCAGAAAGATATTTCATTCCATCGAAAAGTTAAAAAGTACTTAAAAAAATATTTTCATATATACTACGTAATATGTTGTAAGATAATTAAGTATTTGAGAAATCGCACACAGCAAACAATTTTCAAACCGGTGTTTATTATATATATTATTATCTGAAAGTTAAAGTACATAAATAAATATGTTTTTCGCGTATATTAGTTGCATTTTCCTATTACGTAATACATAATTAAATGTCTTCTCTCCTCTACCCAAAGGTTGTCTAGAAGAGATCGCATAAGCGATAAGACCGCCTTTTGTACCCATAATCTAAATATTGTTATCTTTTGTATATATGTTTTTTTATTATTATGGTGCAATAAAGAATAAAATAAAATTATATATATCAGAAATCGTCCACAAAAAATAATTTTCAGACCGATATTCTATTATTATTCTATCGAAACAAAAAAAGAAATAATATATTTCCCGCAAAAATAAAGGTGCATTTTCCTATTACGCAATAAGATAAGTATTTCCGAATTCGCTTACATACAATAATCTTCAGAACAATGTTTATTATTCTGACATATTGAATTATTGTATACCTAACCATATATGCAATTTTCCCAATACGTGATAAGGTAACCGCAACGGTAGATAGGTTTATTCCCAATGGTAATTTTCCGTTTGGTATATCTAATTTTAATTGTTAAAGTGTTATTATTATTTAATTTGTAATTAATAAATACTTATCAATTAATTGAATTAAACAAAAAGGAACACCCATTGTTTTATATACCTAGATACAACATTTGAAAAAAAATAGTAGGTATTTAAACTGTAATTTTAACTATTAAAGTATTATTATTAATTAATAAGTACCTAGTAATTAATGAATAGAAACACCCATTGTTTTATATACGTACAACAGCTGAAAGAAAATGGTAGGTATTTAAACTTATATAAACTGGCATAATTACAGTAAAACATTTTAATACGTACTGAATGTACTCGTAAAGTTTGTTTCATTAATACTTACTTATTTTTTAAGTACCTACTTGGGTAAGTTATGAAATTTTGAGATATTTTAAAAATATAAAAATAATTTAGAATAGTTAAAGTAAAGCGGAAATGGATATTATTACCGTGCATGCGAACTGGTTTTTATTGCACATAAAAAGATCCAATCCAGCCACAACATAAATTAGTATTCAAGCCATTATATTATTTGGTAATGATATAATTGGGACTAAAATTCGTCATGCGGCCTCTACATGAATAACAACCAATTTGGCTTTTTTTAGACGAAAACCTGTTTCAATAATGTACACTGTATATTTTCAGTTTGAATTTCAGAATTCTTTTGTATGTAAATTCGTTTACGCGACTCCGTGCGAAGTACATTTGAACAGCTGAATTCTTATAGAAATAATAATATGTGGTAGAACGATCATCGCTTTCGTTTGATACGAGTAAAATCGAAAACAATATTCCATTACAGACCATCGGTAATGATACCGAAAAACACTGTGAACATCACAATTTATTTTTTAATTCACAAACACTTAATAACTTTTTAAACACAACTCGAAAAGAACATTAAACTTCGAATTTCGAACACGATTCTATTTTGAAACGGTGGTTTTTTTCATCGAAAAAAAGTTTTTTTATGTTTAATAACGCGCGACTATTTCCCGCGTAAACAGCGTGGCGACGCGTACGCCCCTACCAGTGTGATTATCGAGACTGGCTGGCACTGGCTGCCTAGAGTGACTAGTGACGTGACACCGTCGCGTCGGGTTACCGAACGCAAAATCTCTTTACCGTCGTAACCTTACTGCGACCGGTTCCATTGGACCCCGTTAATATACCGCCAAAAATAACATCGACAATAACAAAAACGTTTATTTCCATATTTTTCTGAGACACTACGTTGTAACATTAGCGAATACGATTACACTTGTAAGAACTTAAAACACTTGTTATTTGTTTAAAAAGATTAGTTTTCAATGAATATAATTAACACTAGGTTTACGGGCGTTTCTTATATATCTATCTCTACGAGCATCCGTCAAATTGACGGGTGGATGAAAATACGTATTTATTTTTAAAAAATCAATTTATGCAAACTAAATCTGAGTTTAACAATATAAGGCTTCACGTAAAAATAAAATACTAATAAGTCAAAGTTTTTGTTAAGTTATTACGAAAATGATAACAATAATATAAAGGCTATATAATCATATTTATCGAGGACATTTTTTACATACGTATTGAATTTCTTTTGTGCATTTTCCGCATACGATATTTTGTATATGTATTTTTACAATACATACAGCAATTACTGCTTCTATTTTTATTACAGTAGCCCACTTGACAACTTTTTCGCACTCCCGATGTTGAAAGTGACCGATCTGAAACGTCTGAACTGTAACGAACGTTCTCCTTGTTTTTTCCAGCTAATTCATCGGCTAAAGAAAATATAAACTCCTTTCTGGATATTTTCGATCCGGTACACTCTTTGTACAATATCCACGCGTTTATCGCTGCCAAATCTAAAATATTATAAAAAACTTGGAGAGGCCATCGAAAACACCCTGCTTTCACACTATATTTGCGTCCCATCTGCTACCGAAGTCTGTGAAAGTTCCTTGTGTGTGTTGTTTATGTTTGCACCAACACATGAACTGATTATCTTTTCCATACGACATTTAGTCTGCTGCACGCTTTGATTTTCGAATAACGCGAGGATTTGACACCCGGGCTACACAATTCGTTATCGAGGCGCTATTGAGACTATGAGTTGGGGGGGGGCGGGGTCTTAACCCTTTCTATTAGTCTTATATTTGCATTTAGAGGTATAATTTTACAAGCGAAGCAAATATATAAGGATTGTTGACGTAATCAGCTAACCCGTCAAATTGACGGGTTCCGTAGAAATAGGTATACAAGATACAATTTTCAAAATTTATAAAGCTTAGGAAAATACTAATTGTGCGTATAAACTCTTTTAATGAAATTATAAATTTACAATGCAAAATAGTTAAGATTAATGCTATGGTTTTTTGCGTGTTTCATTTCAAAGTTTGAAATCCGTCAAATTGACGGGTCCCGTAAACCTAGTGTTAAAAACTCACTACCAATACGCCACTACATATACGTTACTACAGTGAGACGATAGTTAATTATATTCTAATTAAAGAGAATTTCATAACATTCCGTAATTACTGGTTAAAGCTATATGCTATGTATGCGTATACACTATAAAGATAGTGACGCAGTAAGAACATAATTTATTATACCAAAATTTCATTACCAAACAGTCATAAAGCCAACTAGAACAAATATGAATGCATCCATGCTGAAGAAGAAAAAGTCAACATAGACTTTTTAGCAAACGGACCAGCGGCGTTAATAGCGGCATTAATAGCCTAAACCCTTCTATTGTGATTAAAGATGATATTTACAAGGTTGCAAATCCTAATAAAAAATGTACAAGTTCATAGAAATGCAAAAACCCTGTTCAACTAATATACTTACTTCAACAAGAGTCTATTGATGGAACATTTAATAATCTTCGCCAATAAACACTGTTAAGCTAATCAAAACTACCCGACTGACTCTAGAAACCAATTTTAATCGAATTACATTAAAATGGGCTATTTCTCCTTTGCGCAGTTATTTAACTTTATTTTTATTTTTTTTAACTATAGACCCGGATAACTCTATACGTTATGGTAATACAACCGTCGCATATACCATATACAATATAGAGGAACTGCACTACGAACATCACGTTGCAATACCATATAATTGCTCACTCTTCAACCATACACGTAGCATACAATTACTCTTGAATTGTAGATTAGTAATGTAATATTATCTGTATTTCGTAGTCATTCTATTTCTAAAATGTTCTTTCTACCTTGTCTATGGAACATAGTAGGCTATCCTTATTTGAGAGTGGCTACACGTTCTACTGTATCTACAAGCTCGGTTCTCGACCTAAGCACCTCGTTGATTACTTGATCTCAGAGAGAGATAACGATGATTGCCCTCTCACACCGCTGCTTAACCAAAGCTGCAGGTCATTAGTGGTTCAACACATGATTCAAACATTATTCGCGTGTTTACTGAAAAAAAATCTGTTAGATACAGTCAGATATATTTTTTGTAAGTTAACAAGATGGTAAATAGCAACTGTCGCTTCTAAATCTAATCAGAATTCCGGATACCACGTTATTATGCGATATCTATGGTACCACTTATCTTGAGCCTTAGTCAGTTGGAGACCAAACCAACACACAGCAATCTGTTTACTGACTAATTTATGTGAGACGAAGATATCCACGAAGAAGACTTTCTACAAAGTCTAACGAATCTAAACCACAGACTCAATAATCCATAGTACATTTTATTTTTTGATGATGCAGTTATATCTTCCTGCAACGGCATATCCAGGCCCAGTGGAAATTGATATGTAATGAAAACAAAGGCAGGTCAGTCTGCTCATCAACATCATACCCAACTTCTTTAAAAATCATTTAATTTAAAAATAATTCAACACTATCTGTTTTGTCAGCAAATAACCGAAATTATTATGACTCTGATAAATATCACCTGTCATTCTAATCTTTTAATATTATAAACGCCAAAATTTGTGAGTATGGATGGATGTTTGTTACTCTTTCACGCAAAAACTACTGAACAGATTTTGATGAAACCACAGTAATATAGCTTATACATCAGAATAACATATAGGCTATAAATTTCATGCGAGTGAAACCGCCGGCACATCTACTACTTCCATAAATAAACACAAGGTTTAGAGAGTTAGCACTGCCCTTATGTGGAAAAAACCTTCAAAATTAGTCTATGCAACCGATTTACAACGCTAAATTTATTGATTTTATAGTTTCAAATAAAAACTATTTTGATTTTTTGTTCTTAGTGACCACTTACTGAAAAAAAAATACTATGTGTCATTTCTTTTAAATCTCCCTGGAAGGCAAAGATTGCTAAACTATACAGCCATATTCAAAAACGTTATATTAAAATGATAGTTCCTGTGGAAGCCATATCCCGTGCCTTTTTATTCGTTTCATCGTTTTATTTCTAGTTTTCATTTTCTATTCGCAGCACCGGTATATTCGTGCAATATTCCCCTAGTCACCTCTTACGACAACCTGTATATAAAAGAGGACATATTATTTTCTTACTCCCTCGTTTAATCTGTGGAAACTATGTACCAGTTGAGTTCCATGCCAGTTCTTCTCAATCGAAATAGCTAGCCGATCTGGACGGTAGGGATAATATTATACATGTTGATGTTTGTAAGAGACTAAAATATCCCATATAAATATATGATTTACTATACTTATGATAACACTTTAAATTATGAGCCACATGTTCATGTTTTGTTGGCGTGTTAGTGATAGAAGAAGAGATCAATGGAAGATTTTATACAAATGACAAAGTAAATAATGTACAGAAATTAATAAAATAAAAATGAACTAAAATTACGCGTTACAATTTTTAATGTAAGATGAACAAGCGATTGAATGACATTTCAATTATTTATTTTTCAGTGAATATATTGTCTCATGGCCTACAACTATATCAATCTACATATAATAAAATCGTAACGAAGAAAAAACCGTCTGCTTGTCAATGTGTACGAGTAAGGTGGAATTACTAGTAATAATTTTTCACCGACTAAGCTATTAATTAGAAGTTAACAGACATGTTAAATATAGTTGTGAAAATTCTTCTCAAAATGAACAATGTTATAATTATTAAACATACCAATTTGATGGCCTCGGTGGTCTAGCAGTTTAGCACATCGCCTTACTTCCAATAGTCGCGTGCTCGATTCCTCGCACTGGACATATATTTTGTATTCATGACTATGACTTTTTGTATCAGTTTCTGCTTCTGTATTTTCCATGTATATTATGTATTTATTAAAAAAAAAGTACTTAGTAGCTAAGCTAAATGACGCTATGTGAATTGATACTATTATTATTAATAATCAAATCATAGATCGCGTCACACATACCTTATACATTGTCATTTGTGAGACTGACATATATTGACACTGTCAATATATGAGACCACTATTCTGTACAAAATTTTTAACTCAACCTCGATTATATGATCATCGTTATCAAAGTAATTCATGAGGCGACATTGAAATATTAATATGCTAACGTAGGTACCTATCAGCCTTATATAGACCGCAATGTCAAGAATGGACAATATTGACATAAGGGACACAAATTCTCAAAATACACTACATGTAGATATAAATAACCATAGTGTTGTAATCGTCCTAAGCGGAACATCTTATCAATTGATTGATTCTATTGAATTTTACACAACAATAAATCTTTTATTAGTATAAATTCGAAATTTGAAATTATTAAAATTCGTTAGTATCTTTTTGTATAAATTCTAATTTTGGGGTGAAAAAGTTTAACATTGTATGGATACTGTTGACGACCGCCTCGAAACTCTTTTGATAGCTAGATAGATGCTTTATTAATCAATTAAAATGAGATACAGAAAAATAAATTGTATAAATTAAAAAACAGAGGTGGCTTTATGTGTCGCAAAGATGAAGAAGCAACCATCACAGCAAAAAATACAGATAAATCTACAGCGCTGATATTCGGTTCTTTTATATCTTTTTTTATACATTATTGCTTT